AAAAAAAAAAAAAAAACAGTTCCCCCAGTCCGTCGCTGGGACGTCGCCACATGGGTGCCTACTTCCCCCCGCCGTCTTGCCGCTGTGCAGCAGCAGCTTGCACACTGCTATTTACCCCGCCCACCCTCCCCCCAGGCCACCGCAGCTAAATCCACGACAAAGCCTCTTAGGCAGCGCCACATGGCAACAGCTGACAAAATCTTGAAGATCCATCCGATCAAGATCTCAGCCAAAACATGTAGCTTTTCGCACATCTGATCATTTTGATAAACTCTACACGCCTAAATGGTGCCCTTTTGCGATATTATTATTACCCTTTTAAAGCTCTCGAAGCTTATTCGTTTTGGATTTAAATCCACGCACTGGCATGTACGGATAAAGCAAACAATATGCAACTCCGAAATCGGGAAGCTAACAAGACAAGCACTCCGATCATCAAAGGGGGAGAGCATCATATTGGAGATATTGATGAATCAACAACATGTTATTGTATGCCTTGTATATCGCTAAGAGGTGTGGGGCGAAAACTGCCCTTGTGACAGAAGATGAAAAACAACTGCATCCTCGCTCAATCACTGGGTAAATAGAGTCGGGGCCAACTTATGATAGTTAGTCTCCTCGATAAGAAAAGTCACAATCAATATTTCAAAAGTCATATTCTTAGTGTTTATAGTCAATGTTACTCGCTTCAACGTTTGAGCTAGAGGTGTTGTTTTTCACAAGTTCCGATGCAAAATTTGTCAGATTTAGGTCACGACAAGTACGGTAAGAACAAGGTAAGAACGTTGGTTGTGAAAGCAAGATCGTTGAGTTGCTCTTTATTCCTTATATGCATATTTAATTTACAATTTGGCAAGGTGTCGTCAGTCCAAACTTAGTGTTCAGGTAAAATAAGTCAGTTATATTCCCTCTATTTGAGGTTGGGGTTTTCGTGGTATTTTTTCTTGAGTTGCAACCCGGAGAGTCAATATCACTCAAAGTTTAGTATGGTTTGTTCTAGGTGGTTATCACAATCTCGCAAACATTTTGTTTTCCAAGTTTTGTTATACTTAGAGTTGTTGTTTGAACGTCCTTCAAACATAAGGTTTCTCTCTCCCATCACGTGTATTAACAAAGAAAGATTGTACATAACGGTTTAATAATTTCATTGGCTTAATGTTCGGAAAATGATTGAGATAAAACTTGTTTCTGCTTCCCTTTTACTGTTTTTTTTTTTTTAACTACGGCGCAATCATGTTTTCAATTTTAAATTCACTTTAGGCAATTCTCGATGAATGGGCTTTATTTTTTATGTATTTTTTTCTATCTATT